TTTTATGTTCAAATGTCCCATTATACTTTTGCAAGATGTGTGAGTCTGGAAGTCATCTGGGGAAGCATTGATTTGGCCTATTTATTGCCCATGCTGGGTGCAAGGGGTACAAAGATTATTCGATGCACCCAGCTTTCCGGGAGCTCACATTTCAGCATGGAGAATACAGCTCTGAAAAATACACATTACAAAATAAGGTTGGTGCCTTCCAGAGGTGTGTGAGGCTGGAGGACAAGCAGGCTTGGGGAGAAGGGGCCAGGCAAGGCTTCATGACAGAGGCTAAGGCTGAATCGGTTTGGGGCTATGGTGGGAAGAGGGTAGTGAATAGGATAGTATGTGTAACTAAATCCAAAATTAGATAAAGAATTACCTTTTTATGTGTATTTCCCCTTACGATGGCTAGAGTAGAAATACTTTGAGGGCAGGCATCTGATCTCTGTCCCTCTGTGAACACCACAATGCCCTGCATAGGGCTGAGGATGACATGGTGCGGTGGTTACTGCATGGGCTCTGGACATGCATGTCCGTTTACACCCCTGAGCTGAGCAAAGTTAGGCAGGTTCACTTAACCCCTTTGGTATTTAACTGTAAAGTGAGGGTAACAGTAGTATCTCCCTCATGGGGATTTCAGGAGCATTAAAGAAGAAGCTACACATAGAGAGCTCAGACCCATGCCAGGCACACGCCACGTTCTCAAGGAACATTTGCTGATCAGCCTCATCTGCATTACAGACAATGTTATACCATTCAGGGCAGCTTAGTACAATAAAGTGGGAAAACCACATGCAACTAAATGCAGCAAAGCACTTTCAACCCAACCAGCTGAATCTAGTTCAATTAATATCAGTTCCAAATGATGCCTGATTAAAAATAGCATTGTTTTCTTGTTTCCTGAAATGATATGTGCAGTAGGCTCTCCTCTATGACCAGAGGAACATTTGTTTGTTGATGATATTCATAGAACTGATCACTGATGTTTCTCTTAAAGGATCCAAGACTCTGGCTGTTATATCGAGGGGACCCCCCAGGCCCTATGCTTCTCCTGCCCCATGTCTGTCTACCCTGGTTTCCCTGTCCACTCACTTTCTAAAGGGCCAGGTTTCCCCAGGTAGGCAGTAAATGAAGGAAGAACCATCATCTAGATATTCAGCCAGGAAGAGGAGAAGTCTTTCTAAGAACACATACTTGCACAAAACTGGTGCTTATCTGGATGGCCATACAAATGTTGAACCACCAGCTCTCTGGGGGAAAAAAAAGCACCCCAATTTATAATAAAACTTGTCAATTTCTGTGGCATAACTAGTCCCACGAGGCTGGTTTGAAGCTGCCAGGGTGACATCCCTGCATGTGGAATTGGGAAGAGACGCACAGTGGTGCACCCTAAGACAGGGTTTCCATGATAAAGACACAGTAGTAGCAGATAATCCCAAGAGCAGAGATAATAGTAAAACATAGTAAATTACAGATGGTCCCCAACTTACGATGGTTCGACTTAGGATATTTTGGCTTTCAGATGATGCTAAAGTGATGCCCACTTAAGAGGAACTCTACTTTGAATTTTGAGTTTTAATTTTTTCTCAGGCTAGCAAAAGGAAGCATGCCAGGCTTTTGTGACGCTGGGCAGTGGCAGGGGCCACAGCTCCCGGGCTGCCATGTGAACAACTGATACACTCAACCACCCTGTACCCGTACAGCCATTCTGTTTTTCACTTTCAGGACAGAATTCAATCCATTACAGGAGCTACTCAACACTCTATTATAAAATGGGCTTTGGGTTAGGTGATTTTGCCCAACTGTAGGCTAGTGTAAGTGTTGTGAGCATGTTTAAAGTAGGCTAGGCTAAGCGAGATGTATTGTAGTTTAGGTGTATTAAATGCATTTTCGACTTAACGATATTTTCAACTGATGATGGGGTTATCAGGATGTAACCCCACTGGTAAGTCAAGGAAGATCTGTAATTAGGAAGTGATAACTATTGAGTATTTGTTGCCTTTGTTTTTTTAATATAATTTAATTGTGAGTTTTTTAAAGATTTTTTAAGATTTTTTTAATTTATTTGAGAGAGAGAGAGAAAGTGCGTGTGCAGGTGCAGGATGGGGGAGGGGCAGAAGGAGAGGAAGAGAGAGAATCTTAAGCACACTCCTCGCTGAGTGCAGGGCCCTACACAGGGCTTGATCCCATGACCTTGAGATCATGACCTGAGCTGAAATCAAGAGTTGGATGTTTAACCAACTGAGCCACCCAGGCGCCCCTCTTTAATTTTTTTTAAGATTTTATTTATTTATTTGACAGAGAGACACAGTGAGAGAGGGAACACAAGCAGGGGGAGTGGGAGAGGGAGAAGCAGGCTTCCCACGGAGCAGGGAGCCCAATGTGGGGCTCAATCCCAGGACCCCGGGACCGTGACCTGAGCCGAAGGCAGACATTTAATGACTGAGCCACCCAGGTGCCCCTCTAATTTACTTTTTAACAACAGTTGTGTCTTACCATGGCTCCCCAAATTTCTGAAATGGTGATGGTCGATCCTGCGAGGGGTACGGAGCTGGCTCCAGCCTATCACTGGATCTACAGTGTCTTCCACATGGCATCCTTCATGTTACCATTAAATCTTTGCTCCTCTGAGATACAAGATTGTTTTACACACATTTTCTTGGGCATACATCCACTCATACATACACAGACCTATTCTTACGCAAAATAGGTGAGAAAACCTCTCTTGCTCAGCCTTGCTCATTACCCCCTCCCCTCTTCCTCCCAGAACAACCAACCAACCTGACCTACACTTTCATGGAAACCTCAGAACATGGAGGCAAAAGAAAGAAACAATACCAAAAGGGAATACTTAAAATGGAGGGAGAGTAGACAGAAGGAGACAAAGGAAAGAGAAAAGAGCGAGGAGGGCAAGTGCAGAAGTCTTCACGCCCCCATTCCTCCACTGGAAGCCCCAACTACAGGACACCAGGATATACTGAACACTAAATACACTGAGTTGCTTTGGGTCTCACCGGAACCCTGGGTCCTAGCCCTCAGCCCCAACGCTGGCCTGAGTGGCGAGGGTGAAGGCAGGAAACGGCTCCATAAACAATGTGTTGCAATAAGGGGTTTCTCCCCATGAGAAGAACCCTGAAATGTGGTTGCCAGGGGACTTGTGAGCACTGGCGGTTCCAAAGCTCTGTCAGACAAGCTCCTGAGAAGTCTGGACTAAAAACATGGCATTTAAGCTCAAAATGGCAGCTGGGAGATGTTAACACTTCTTTTCTAATTGGGATAGTACACTTTTAAAATAAATAGGTATTTCAAATGCTCTTAATTAGACTTCCATCCAGAATGTTTTCCATTTGAAGCCTGCTGATTACTTCAGGCAAAGCTGGGCCCTGTTGAACCTGACACCTGCTGTAATTCAGGAGAAGGCTCCCAGAGAGATGAGCAAGAGGAATTATGGAGAAGACATGCAGCTATTTCCCACAGGCCCAGGACACTCTGGGATGGGGGGGTCAGAGAGGATGGAGCATCTCTTGCCGTGAAAGCCTCAGGAATTGACCAGTGTTTTCCAGTCATTTTTTCTAGTCACTTAGCCTCGTGAAGACTGGAGAATAGACCAGATGGCAGCCCTCAGATGCAGGGCCTAGTGGCACTCCTTAGGGATGACTCCCCACCCAGTGACCTATTTGTGAGGTCCAAGGTGACCTTGGCACAGCTGCCCCACAGAGGTCCTTAAGCCCTTTCCTAGCCCAGCCTTATGAATCGGGGCCCCAGGGGGAGTCCTGGCTGCTTCCTGGAGAAGCACTCAGGAGCATCTCAGCCCTGACTCCCTGCCTGCATCTCTGGCGATGGGAGGGCAGGCCCAGCATGTTGACCTGAACTCTCAGCGCCAGGGTCCATGGAGGGAAGCTCAAGTTCTGGTCAGTGTGCTTCAGGCTTCCTCCTTCCTTGTTTCTGATGCAACCAGTGGCTATGTGATATGATCATTACTCTAACTGAAACTAAACAACCCACCTTCTTAATAATCCAAATTATTGGGGTTCAGTGGGTCATCCCTATGACACTGGGGGTCTCCTCCATCTCCTCTCTAAATGCCCTGGGTGCTGGACTTCTCTGACTTCAGGTGGTTCCAGGGGCCAGGCCACCTCAAGTGGAACCCTTCATTTGGAATACATGAATTGCTTATTTAATCACTATAAGTGCTTGGTCCCAGACCAGCTGGAGAGGAAACAAGGGGGTCGTGCCCCAGATACCTGCTCCACCAGGCTTTCTGGGAGCTGAACTCTCCTCCCAGGTGACTTCCTTGGGTCCCATATCAAAAGGGGGCATTTTCTGCAGCTGTCCACTGCTTAAAAGGTGCCAAGTTCCCCTTAGAATATCACCGTGTTGGTTAGTGTTTGCATTACTAGTGTATTAAGTGAGCCCATCGTTGTTGGCAGTGAATGGCATGGGGGCTAAGAGCACCACGTGTGGACTCAGAGACCTGGGTTCACATCCTAATTTCAATGATTCCTAGCCATGTGACCCTGGGCAAGTCATTAAATTGCCCTCATCCCGAAAAATGCACATACTTCTGAGGAGAGTCACGAGGCAGAAAGGAGACCAAGCACACACAGCTGTGCACAGGGGTGGTTCAGAAAACGGTCGCTGTCTTCATCACTCAAGGTTGTTGTTAGGATTCATTAGTAGTAGCTCTGGAAAGCTCAGAGTAGAGCTCTGAGAAGCTGGGGCCTAGGGGTGAACTTAGGTTGGGATGTGGGGTGGAAAGGTCAGGAGGATGAGGCAGCAGCTAGGAAGGTGGGGTGCCAGTCCGGACAACTGGGAGCAAGCATGCAGGATGGGGTAACTTGTCCCAGAGAGGAGGAGCATCCAGAGGAAGCTGCACTAACAGCAAACCTTGCCTTCCTTAACCTTCTTGAGGGTTCTAGATGGATTTTCCTTTAGCTGGGTCTAGGTTTCCAAGACCACACAGCTTGTATTACCTTCACCTTCTTCCTGCATCTTCACTTTGTACCCACCTAGAGCTACCTGCTGCATATGCCGCTGGATGATTTCTTCCTTCAGGCGACCTGTCAAAGACACAAAGGAAAACCACTAGTGAGTTTCCTGCAGGCTGGAGGAAGACTTTGCCTCAGAAGCAGGTTGCAAGCAAAAAAACCCCCAAAACAAAACAAAAACAAGGTAGAGGAAGAAAGATAAAAGTGGGCATAGCTTCCAAGAAGAGCCCTCCAGGCACTGGATGGTGTTGGAACAGGCTGGCTGGCATGCTGGCATCTTGGCACATCAATGTAAATACATGTTTCACCTTTGGGTTCAGTTACCTTAGTCTGTCATTTGTAACCTTTGTTAGGGCCCTAGTCTCTTCAATAGTTCTATCTGTCTATTATTAATGGAAGGAGAGGCAGGATTGGATCTTATAATAATTTACAGGGCCACTTTTAAATCTACTTTTTTTCTTTTAAGCTGTATGAAACTGTGTCAAGGAAAAAAAATGGTTTGAGTTAAGGATAACCTTAATATGAACACAACAGTTGATCATTTACTATGAAACATATATTATTCTAGGTTGCATTAATAAAGGTATAGTGTGTAGTTGAAGGGAGGTGATGGTGGTGAACTCTGCATATGTACGCTGTAGTGGTCAGACCACAGTTGGCATTTGTTCTGGGAGTTACTCTTCATAAGGAATGTTAGTAAAATAGAAAATATTTATAGAAAATGGTGAGGGATCTAAAACCATGCCATATGAGAAATATTTGAGGTGATCTGAGATGTTTAGATGGAGAAGGAAAGACTTGGAAGGAGAAGAGGCTCAGAGAAAATCACTGTCTTTAAAAATCTGAATGTTGCCGGGGCGCCTGGGTTGCTCAGTTAGTTAAGCATCTGCCTTTGGCTCAGGTCACGATCCTGGGGTGCTGGGATCGAGCCCTCATCGGGCTCCCTGCTCAGTGGGAAGTTTGCTTCTCCTCTCTCTCTGCCCCCCCACTCCACTCATGCTTTCTTTCCCTCTCTCAAATAAATAAATAAAATTTTTAAAAAATTAAAAAAAAATCCAAACGTTGTCATTTGAATGACAGAACACATTTATCTTGGTCCTCTCCCTGAGGGCAGAGGTCAAGTTGAATAAAGACAGACTAGAGGCTCAGTAAGAGGGAAGAAACAATTCACAATGAAGACTCTCGCAACATGGATTAAGTTGTCTCAACCTGGACTATATTTCTCGGCAGAGCAATGAGTCCCTTCCTGACAGTGTTTGAGAAGAGGCTGGGTGATAGTCTTCGGGGCGTGAGAGTGAGAACTCCTGCCCTGGGGAGGACTTGGGGTGAAGTGACTTCCAGGGTTCCTCTATCGCTACTATACTTCTATGATTTCATGCTGGAAGGAGGGGTGAAGAAACCCACCCCCCAGGTTTGTTTTATATCTAAGGGCTCAGCACACTTGTTAAAATGTCATTGCTGTCTGCATCACGTGTCCCATTCGGGAGATGCGATCGGGCCCCTGGGGACCCCGAGGGAGCCTGGGAACTTCACTGCTCCCTTGTCTAATGTAGTCCTTTCTTCACATAAAGTGCATTTGACACCTCAAAGACGATGGCTGAACTGAGTTTTTGAAAAATGAGTAGACAATGAAGCAGTCACAGGAGACCCCGTCACTCACAGAAAGTTCTAGGGCACCTCTACAGATGCTATGACTGGGAGGGACGGCAGAGGTCGTTCACTTGAACGTCCCACCCCATTCAGGAGTCCCTGCTATTTGTATGACTTGTATGTATCCAGGCTGTTCCACTGATTAAGTTGTATAAAAGGAGTTGCTGATGTGATGTTGACACCTGCTTCCCTTAACTTCCAGATTTGGACCTGGTCGGTTCTCTGGAACAGCATGGGAGAAGGATCCTCTCTCATTGGCAGTGAGGATCTGAGGATGCCATGTCTCCACCTGGACTTGTCCTCTCTGGGTTAAATGTCACCAGTTCCTTCAGCTCCTGCCAGAGTGCAAGTCTGAGCCTTGCCTTCCAAGTGTCCCCACGGGAGAGGACTATGCGCAGAGAGGAAGCCAGGGATTGGGCATAAGCAGTGACTGCAACCTAATTCCAAGTGGGGAAGGGTAAGAATTTAGGGAATGTGTTGGGCGGGGGGAGAGGTGGAGAAGTGGAAATCTGGCCCAAGAGTGAGAATTGGACCAGACTGGCACCAACAAGAAAATACCTGAAACCCAGGCCAGCCACAGCCACAGATGGGATCTTGTCCCCTCTCTGAGCAATATGACCTTTATTGTCTACACGGGCAGAGTAAAGAAGATGGGGATCCAGGGGTGGTGCTGGGCTGAGGTTCCAGTCTATGTCCAACACCGCTGAATTGAATTGTAAAGAAGCAGAGCACATGTGCTTTTCAAATCAAAGGAGGAAAGGCGGTAGTGCTATGACAAATGCAACACACCATTTAGACATAGCTCCTGATGGAGAGTAGGTCATTAAGGGCTTTGTCATGCCCACAGCAGGGACAGCCAATGCCACCGTGGTGCCTGGGTCCTGGGGATCTGGCATAGGTGCCTTCCACCACCAGCCTCTTCTGGGCCTCCTTCCGGCTGAGACCGGATGGGGACTTGCTCCTTCGGAGGACACACTGGGCTGCACTCCTCCTTGGGAAACTGTCTCCCAATGAGCCTCCCGACAGCTTGTCTTCCTGACCATGGGCCTTCCCAACGAGAGGTCTCCTCACCTACGTGCCTCCCACCCTCATGCCTCACCCCCGTAGGTGTTCAGTCTCGTACGGCATGATTTCCCCTGCTCCCAGTGGAATGACAGACCAGGGTCCCTTCTCCAAACCCCGGGGAAGCAGGGTTAGATTCTCCACGGCCCCCAGCCTGGGAAGAGCTGCTCGTGTAAATAAAGAGGGGGATTTGCCCCCAGGACTGCCGGTTCTATGGACTCCACAAACAGAAATACCTACTCCCAGAACAATGAGCCATCCTGAGGGGACCGCAGGTGGGTCTTTATAATGCTCATATTGAAAGAGGCAGGTTTAATGTGTGTGTGGATGTTCAGTTTGGGTGACTCGGCTAACGTTGCCTACCACATGGCGATTTTTGTTTCTGAGATGTTCCCAAACAAGCATCTAAAAATAGCCTTATAGCTGATACCTAATTGCATTTTCTAACAGAGTCATTCTTCATGTGAAGATAACGGTCTCTGCAATCGGCTGGATCTTGCAGTTCCACAGGTTTTGGCAAAAGAAGGAGTCGAGGGGGAAAGCAGAATTCACTCAGCATGCGGCTTGCTGTCATTAGCATAGTGATAAATTTGCTGGTTTTGGCCTGGGTTCCTGGACACATCCCCATCCTGAGGTATGGAAAAGAGATGAAACGGAAACAGAGAACTCCCAGCCTGAGGCAAGAGATGGTCAGGGAGGGCAACCAGGGCACGGAGGGATGCGGGAGGCTCCGCTTGTAGGTGAATGGTGGTAATTAGTAATTCTGTCTCCAGTAACTTACAACAGTGCATGCCAGAAACACCTTCTCTCCCTTTCTGATTCATTGATTGCCAGAATGGGGGTGTTAGTAGGGGGCACAGGGGTACTTGGAACCCACAACCACCCCTGAGGAGCTCCAGCGGAGACGCATGACCTTCCTAACCGCCACATGCGGGGTGGCGTGGTATAGAGTTTTTCTGTACCAAGTAGTTCATATGAAAAATATTATCATCATGCAGAAGCAACACTTATTTTTTTTACAATGATAGTCTTTTGGATACAACAATTTTCCTTAAGCTTCACATTTTATTTTGCATGCCTGGCAGTTTGGAGTTGTTGACCAAGGGAAAGCTGCTTAGCTGATCCAGAGCAGAGCGCTTCACTTTTGACGCCGCCCCCCCCGCCCCGAATATGGCCATCTGTGGGCTGCTTGCACAACTTCTGTGATGCGGTGCCTTACTGAGGATGCTGACATCACTACCAGGGAGTAAATATTTCTCGCTCATGCACTGTATGTTGAGCACCATGTTAAGTGCTAGGCTAGAATATACAGACTAGTTAAGAAGTCTCTTCTAGTTCAAGAAAGCTAGCCTGATACAGAGGACTACAAACAGGGTGCCAGCATATTCTTCCTTTTAAGAGCTGGACCCATGACAGACCTTGCTCTTCCCTCATGGATGATTTGTATTCCTGCTGAGCCTGGGTTGGGCTCTTCAACACAGCACTTTGGGCAGCTATAACCGTTCACTGGGAGTTGACCTCAAGATGAAGCAAACCTCTTTGCCATTTTGGTTAAACTAGAAGATAATTACAGACTTGTAGGTCTACAGATTTTAAGTTCAAATCCCAACTCTGCTACCTCTAGTAGGGCAGGTTACTTAACATCTCTGAGCCTCCATTTTATCCTTTGAAAAATGGGTCATAGTAAAATAACTGGGATAATATCCATTTTACTATCTCTCAAGACGTTTGGGAGGATAAGAGATAACATGTCAACGTATGTGACACACCAGACTAGTTTTAGGCATGAAGGCACTTTCAGACATATGGAAAGGATACTATATTCAGAAGATGACAGGTCTGAAGGACGAGTGGTTAAATGTCAAATCAATGGTAGACTTAAGCTTAGAGGAGGAAAGGTGGGTTAGTGGCATTAGGAAAGGCATCATCACTAATGGTGAGCCTTGGGTGGATTCTGAAGGGAGCAGAGGTGTTAAGGTGAGGGTGGGGAAGACACTGCAGTGAACGATGATGGTGGGGGCAACAATGGTGGACAAGGCCAGGCATACACTGGTTTGGGGTGGGGGTTGGAAGGGAGGGCTTGAATGGAGGAGTAGGGCTGGGGGAAGACTAGAGTCTAGGGTCCAAGGTCATTACTAAGGGCTCTGGACCCCAGTGAAAATCTGTTCTTCTATTTGACTCTACTACTATAGCATCTCAGTAAAATCAAATTAAAGTAAACTTCAGTAGCAGGATTGGGGTGTGGGGAGAGGACACAGAATTGTATCACCTGCCTGAGGGGCCTCTTTGAAGGGAAAGTCTAGTTAGTGGGTCTGAATTCAGAGTGTGGATTTCAGCTGTGATGTGGGATGCCAGTTTCT